TTTTTCTAAAAAAAACTATATATCTTATTTTGATATTAAATTATTAAAAAAAGAATAAATAAAAGCACAAAGAGCAAATCATTTGTTGTGCTTGATGTTGCTTACACTATCGACGATCATCCTATGGTTGAACTCACTTATATAAAATTTTGAGTCCGCACTGAATAATGTAAGTTCATTCATTGAATTGTTGGTGTGTAACACTATGACAATTTTAAATTTGAACTCTATAATTTAAAAAATGTATTTTCTTAAAAGTGGATACCGAATATACAATAAGAAAAAACATGTACTCGTGATGGGTAGTAATTATCTCCGCCTTCAATTAGAGATCTCGAATTTAGAAATAAATTTACATTCAGTTTTGAAGAGGATACTGAATACAAAATGAGGAGGGGGGGGGGGGGGGCCCTTGCTAAATCCGCCTTCAATTAGAGATCTCGAATTTAGAAATAAATTTACATTCAGTTTTGAAGAGGATACTGAATACAAAATGAGGAGGGGGGGGGGGGGGACACCTACTTAAATGCCGCTTATCATTTTCTAAGATTGTGACCGGTAGTAACTATCTCCATCATCAACTATAGATTTCGAGTTTGGAATGAATTTACTTTCACTCCTAAGACTGGTATCAATATAGGGTGACGAAACCCCCCAATCATCAAAGATTGTGATAGGTAGTCTCTCAATACGAAAACTAGTATCAAATGTCGAGTTTTGACTATCAAATACTACGTAAATTCTACTAAAGTTCACCCTAACAACAAAAACTTAGTCATGAAAATATGATCCATCAAATCCATCCAAGTTTAACCTGATCATTGATCCATTTATTTACTAGCTCAACTCGTTAATAAACAGTGTTGATATATTTTAAAATGCAGTTTTTGGCCTTTTACTCATTATAAATTAGTGTATAATTTCACATTTCTTGAATTTTGAGCATTTGGTGAAATTTAACTTTTTCACATTTGACACTATCTAATACGTCTGGAGAGAGGCAAATTAATGGACCCATTTTCTAGCAAACGAAGAACACAAGCATGAAGAAGATTTAGTAATGTATAAGGAAATGTACTCAAGCATATGAAATTTTTCCTTCTAACAGATTTAAGTGGTACTGCTTTTATAAGACTTTCAAAAACTTATTCCAAAAAATAATAATACACATTCGGTATATATCCCAAGCAAATCTTCTGAATTGTCATAATAATTTATAGCTATAAAATTATAATATTAAAAGCAAAATAAAGTATTAAATTATAATATTACTATTTTTACTGATATTTTTTTATGGATATAATAGAGAGCACGAATTTCAAAAGGATGTGAATGTTATTCAAACCAACCACAATTCATTTATATGATACCAAAAAGCCACCTCATCGATTTTCAAATAGCTATGAAAATAAATTTTATGATAAACTGAATCCAAATAAATTTGAATTTACATTGAAAAGTCTCATACTGAGAGGTAAAACACTCTATATTCAGAAAAAATTGAATCCAAAATATTTGATTAAAAATGAAAAAATATTTAGCACTCCATCACAACCCCCTCGTTGCTAGATGAAGTAATGATTCAATCTTAAATCATTCCATAGCAAACCCCCCTTCTCCCCCGCCCCCCCAACACACCCCCTCAAATCCACCATTAAAAAAACCTCAAATTTCCTTCTTCCACTAGTACACACTCATCAAGATTCAACACAAATGTCTTCTTCAAAATTTGAACCAAATGATGACATACTTGATTTTGTAATCAAGAAAGCAAATGGACTAAAAGGCCTAGTAGACACAAACCTTGAAATTATCCCAAATCAATGCATTCAACCAAAAGAACAAAGACTAAACAAGTCTCAAATTGACAATCAAGAATCAATCCCAACAATTAATTTATCAAATTTTGATGATTTAAATGTTGAAAAATCAATTCAAGAAGCAGCAAGCAAGTGGGGTTTCTTCCAAATCATCAATCATGGGATCCCAATTGAGGTACTTGAAAATTTGAAGGATGCAGCACACAAATTCTTTGAATTGCCAGCTGAAGAAAAAGTTAAGTATCATAAAGAAAAAGTTAGTCCTGGTGAATCTGTGTTGATGTTTTGGAGTGCTATTGGTGAGAAAGATGAGAAAGTTTTGGAGTGGAGGGATACTATAAGACATGGTTGTAATCCACAAAATGATAGCAATCTTTGGCCTCCTCAAACAAGGTAACTTTTTGGGGTTTTCTACTCTGTATAATCAATAGGTCACAGGTTTTCAAGTAGTATTACTTTTTGGGAGGTGTTTGCATTTCTGAACTATCACCAACTATTTATCAAAACATATTTAAAAACTAACTAGATTAAGTGGTTGAACACAAAATTATCTCAAGATTTTATAATGGTACTCTATAACTTAAATCAAAAGTATATTGTATATGTAGGAGAAAAGTTATCTTTTATACGCTTACATATCCAGTATAATCTCACAAGTAGAGTATGTAAAGGGTAGGATATACACAAATTCTTCCTTTGTCTTAGCAACATAAGGAGGGTTTATTTTTTATAAACTCTCGAAACATTTTTAGTGAAATTCTTAACTTTGACATGGAATCTTGAACGTTATTAGCAAAAAAATTGACCTTCCCATTAAACTCTGAATGCTCTTAGCAAAATTCCTGACTTTGTTATTGATTTATAGGGACCAAGTTTTGGAGTATAAAAAGTGGGTTAAACCACTTGCTAAAAAATTGCTTGAGGTGCTATTGAAGGGTCTCAATGTCAATGAAATTGACGAATCTTTAGAACCTCTCTTGATGGGAACTATGTCTATAAACATCAACTACTATCCACCATGCCCAAATCCAAGTATCGCCATTGGTTTTCGTAGACACTGCGACATGGACTGCATAACTTTGCTCCTCCAAAACGACACGGGAGGCTTATATGTTCGAGGAACTAAAGACAACTGGATCCACGTAAATCCTATCAAAGGCGCCTTAGCGGTTAATATAGGTGACTCATTGCAGATCATGAGCAATGATCGATACAAGAGTATCGAGCATTGTGTAGCTGTTGATTCGAGCAGGGCTCGAATATCCATACCGCTATTCGTGAATCCTAGTTTTGATAGTGTCATTGGTCCATTCCCACAAATACTAAAAGATGGAGAAAAACCAGTGTACAAACATATTTTGTTCTCTGATTATTGGGATCATTGCTTCATTAAGAGGCCTTCTGGTAAAGCATCACTAGATTTTGCTAAAATTTGATGCTTTATTTCAAAGTTCTTGTATGTTAATGTTTTTTTATTATAAATATGTTATTGTAATGATGAAAACTGTTATTTTATGTAACTTGCAATTTGGTGTAATCGTGTCCGTTATTTATTTATTTTTTCTTTATCTTGCCCTTTCTTATAATTTAATAATTCTATTTTACACTTTAAAAAAAACGTGGTGAAACTCTTAGGGTGTTGTTTGGAGTCTGAAGTGCCTCTACTAGTCATGAATTCATTTCCAAAGGTACCCTCTATACTATATTCATGACGTGGAGATCAAACACGTTGGTTTTCATGGGAAACCTTAGCATTTTAAGCAAAGTTTTATTTTCAATTTATTCAAAAGGAAAGAAAATTTATAAAAAAAATACATGTTTCTTTTAATTTAGAGTTTTATAAATAAATTAGTGTTTTTTAAGTATATTTTTAAATTAGCTATTTAATTTTTCTTATATTAATTCAAAATAATTAGCTAATATTTGTATTAGACAACAACACACAAGAGGACTCTCCACTTTGGCTCTTAGCCTGCAACGTAAGACAATAAATAATCTTGAAATCAGGGGTGTTACAATGATACTATTTTTATTGATAATTTTTATAGATATTGGAGTCAGTGATATATTAATTTATTTGTTTTAATTTATTTGACATGAATAAAATTAACACAATTAATTATATATTTTTATAATATTAAAATATTTTAAATTATTAATTATTATAATTTTTATTATCTTTAATGTAATTTTTTCATTTTCACTGTTTTAACTTATGTACACTAACAGAATTTTGTAAATCACCTATTCCCACTTACTTTATATGGTAAAAAATTTCATCATTCATGACAATTGACAACTTGACAACAAAGATGTGGATGTTATTCAAACAAATCACAATTCATCCACATGGACACCAAGAAGCCATCTCACCAAGCTACTTTTTTATGATGATAATGATGTTTGATTATACATAAAATTAAAATATTAAATAAAAAATTAATTCAAAATTTTTGTTTGGGTCGTTAATATATATCATCCATATACCGCAACCCCACTCCCTTAAAATAATAGAATGAAGTAATAATTTAATTGTTCTAACAAATTTATAAAAAATTATATGACGTGTTCAAAAACTCGTGATTCGCGCGTCAGACTTCAGTGTCGAGGTGGGTGGGGTGTGGGGTGGGGGGGTACGGAGACAGAACAATTATAACGTTTTAAAAATGTCAAAGAAAAGAAATGATAAAACAAGATTTTTTATAAAATCATTGAAGCCACTAATTAAAGGAAAATAAAGAGTAGTCACTTTTTCATAATTTGATTTATCATATACTATGTAAATACTACAAAAAAAATTAATAAATTATACTATTTTTAACTGATAATTTTTATGGATATAATATACAAATTTCGTTATTCATGCATTTGGACATCAAGAAGCCACATCACCAATTTTCAAATAACTATTTTATGATGATGATGTTTGATTAAGCATAAAATAAAAATAAAAAATTGAAATACTAAATAAAAAAATCAATTCAAGAATTATTAGAAGGAGTGATTTTTTTTCAATATTCATATTGAGTCTAACTAAATTTGAATTCGCATCAAAAAGTTTCATATTGAGAGGTAATACGCTCCTCTAATTAACAAAGACGACTATATATTCAGAAAAAATTGAATTCAAGCCATTTGATTAATGATGAAAAATATTTACTACTCCTCCATAACCCATCGTTGCTAGATGAAAGAATGATTCAATCTTTCATCATTTCATAGCCAATCCCCAACCACCCACACACACTCCTCTCAAAGCCACCATAAAAAAGCCCCACAAATTTCCTTCTTCCATTAGTACACACTTATCAATATTCAACACAAATGCCTTCTTCAAAATTTGAACCAAATGATGACATATTTGATTTTGTAATCAAGAAAGCAAATGGACTAAAAGGCATAGCAGACACAAGCCTTGAAATTATTCCAAATCAATGCATTCAACCAAAAGAACAAAGACTAGACAAATCTCAAATTGACAATCAAGAATCAATCCCCACAATTGATTTGTCAAATTTTGATGATTTAAATGTTGAAAAATCAATTCAAGAAGCAGCAAACAAGTGGGGTTTCTTCCAAATCATCAATCATGGCATCCCAATTGAAGTTCTTGAAGATTTGAAAGAAGCAGGACACAAATTCTTTGAATTGCCAGCTGAAGAAAAAGTAAAGTATTATAAAGAAAATGCTGGTGCTGATGAATCTGTGTTGTTGTATTGGAGTGCTATTGGTGTCAAAGATGAGAAAGTTTTGGAGTGGAGAGATAGTATAAAGCATGGTTGTAATCTAGAAAATGATAGCAATCTTTGGCCTCCTCAAACAAGGTAACTTTTTTGGATTTTTTGTTCAATGTATCTATATGTCACATGTTCTTAAGTAAGTAAAAAAAATACCTAAAGTATTACTTTTTTCGTGAGTTCAATAACTTAACGTTAAGATGTTTATGAAAACACACTTCGAAATTGACTAGACCAAGTGTTTGAATACAATCTTTAAAAAGTGTATGAAAAACTTAATTTGCCTATAAAATTTCATTGACATGGAAACTGACTCATTAAATGAGAGCTGTGTTTTGATAATTAGTTGATGATAGTTTAGATTGAAAACTTACAAAATATGATATTTCAGGTGTATTTTTTGTCATTATCTCTAAATTTTATAATGGTATATATAACTTAAAGTCAAAATTATATTGCATATGTTGGAGAAAAATTATCTTTATACGATAATATATTCAGTATAATCTCACACAAGTAGGATATGTGAAGGTTAGGATGTACGCATATCTTATTTTTTCCTTTACAGGGTAAAAATGTTGTTTTCGATAAATTTTGAAACACTCTTCGTGAAATTTCTGATTATGACATTAAATCTTGAATGTTTTTAGCAAAATTCTTGTCATTGCCATTAAATTTCGTACGCTCTTAATGAAATTTCTGACTTTCTCACGAGTTTATAGGAACCAAGTCTTGGAGTATCAAAAGTGGGCTAAACCACTTGCTAAAAAGTTGTTAGAGGTACTATTGAAGGGTCTCAATGTCAATGAAATTGATGAATCTTTAGAACCTCTCTTGATGGGAACTATGGCTATCAACATAAACTACTATCCACCATGCCCAAATCCAAGTATCACCATTGGTTGTCGCCGACACTGTGACGTGTCTTGCATCACTCTGCTTCTCCAAGACGACACGGGAGGCCTATATGTCCGAGGGACTAAAGGCGATAACTGGATCCATGTAAATCCAATAAAAGGCGCCTTAGCGGTTAACATAGGTGACTCGTTGCAGATCATGAGCAATGATCGATACAAAAGTATAGAGCATTGTGTAGCAGTTGATTCAAGCAGGGCTCGAATATCTGTACCGCTATTTGTGAATCCTAGCCTTGACACTGTCATTGGTCCATTTCCACAAATGCTAAAAGATGGAGAAAAACCAGTGTACAAACAAGTCTTGTTTTCTGATTATTGGGATTATTTCTTCAGTAAGAGGCCTTCTGGTAAAGCATCACTAGATTTTGCTAAAAATTGATGCTTTGATTTACAAATTTTTTGTTATGTTAATGTTATTGTATTGTCAAATCCATTATTATGTAATAACGAAAAGTGTTATTTTATGCAACCATCGATTTGGTGTGGTAGTGTTATTGTTTTTTCTCTTTGTCTTCTTTTTTGTTTTAAATATCCACTTTGGAACTTCAAACTAATCCAAATTTGCACTTCATAAGTCCATTAACAGGTATTTGCTATGTATCATAATTATTTTCATTTCTTAAGCTCGAATCCAGAACATCAGATTATGAATAAAAAATCTTATTTATTTCACCATAATCCGAGCAATTATGATAGAAAAGAAAATTGGATATAGACTCTCTTTAGAATACTCATATTTCTCGACAAGAGGGTAACACATGATTGTCAAATGTCAGTAACTAAATGTAAATCTCGATATCCTTCCCAACTCCTGAATTTCCACCTCAATGTCGGAGGTGGGGGGTGGGGCTGACGAAACAAATAAAATGTTTTCGAAATGAATGAAAAAAAAAAAAGCCAAAGCAAGATTTTTACTGATAATTTTTTTTATGAATAAAATAGAGTATACAAATTTCAAAAAAATGTGGATGTTATTCAAACAAACCACAGCTTATGCATATTACTATATATTAGAAGACTCTAAGATTTACTACCAAAAGTGGGCCCCATTTCCTTCCACTTAAATAATATTTTTCAACCTTATCATGGTAAAAGTTAAATTTATTATCCTTTACATTTAATTTTATATGATATTATTTTTTCTATAAAATCATTATATATGTTTTAATAATTTAAATTTCAAAAACATTATAATTTAACTTTAAAGATTTTATTTTATCAAAATCTTGTACATTGAAATATATAGTTATGAATTTAAAATATTTTTAAAATCATATAAAAATTTCAATAACTTCTCAAATTCCATAATATAACACTTAAATACTACATATTATATATTAATTATACTATACTATAAATGACTTAAATACTCCATATTATCTATTACAATAATTAACAATTATTTGACACTTTAAATTCTATCAATGCCATATAAATTAGGATAAAAAACCTAACATATAATATTTAAATATATTTAAAAATAATATAAGTAATACTATACATTACAATAATTAACAGCTTCATTATTTAAAACTTATATACAAAATTTAATTGACTCTCTAAATTCTATTGGTACCACATAAAATGGATTATATGATAAACATATATTGTTTGAAATTGACGAAAAAGAAACTATAAATTACAATAATTAACAAAATAAATCTCTCGACTCCAACAAATCTATCAATTAATGCCACATAAATTGGGACATGGCAAATAACATATATTATTAAAAAATTAGGTTCAAAATGTACTATAAAATACAATAATTAACAACTTAATATATTAAAGAGACATATAAAAAATGGTTAATATTTGAAATTCTGCGTGTGCCACATAAATTAGAACAAACAGAGTAATAAATATTTTTTTCAAAATTATGTTAAAAAAAAGTACTACAAATCACAATAGCTAACAATTTAAAATATTTTTAAAATCATATAAAAATTTCAATAACTTCTCAAATTCCATAATATAACACTTAAATACTACATATTATATATTAATTATACTATACTATAAATGACTTAAATACTCCATATTATCTATTACAATAATTAACAATTATTTGACACTTTAAATTCTATCAATGCCATATAAATTAGGATAAAAAACCTAACATATAATATTTAAATATATTTAAAAATAATATAAGTAATACTATACATTACAATAATTAACAGCTTAATTATTTAAAACTTATATAAAAAATTTAATTGACTCTCTAAATTCTATTGGTACCACATAAAATGGATTATATGATAAACATATATTGTTTGAAATTGACGAAAAAGAAACAATAAATTACAATAATTAATAAAAAAATAGTCCACTCCAAAAAATCTATCAATTAACAACATATATTGTTTGAAATTGACGAAAAAGAAACAATAAATTACAATAATTAATAAAAAAAATTGTTGACGAAATTGACGAAAAACAAATTATAAATTACAATAATTAACAAAATAAATCTCTCGACTCCAACAAATCTATCAATTAATGCCACATAAATTGGGACATGGCAAATAACATATATTATTAAAAAATTAGGTTCAAAATGTACTATAAAATACAATAATTAACAACTTAATATATTAAAGAGACATATAAAAAATGGTTAATATTTGAAATTCTGCGTGTGCCACATAAATTAGAACAAACAGAGTAATAAATATTTTTTTCAAAATTATGTTAAAAAAAAGTACTACAAATCACAATAGCTAACAATTTAAAATATTTTTAAAATCATATAAAAATTTCAATAACTTCTCAAATTCCATAATATGACATAAATTTTTTAAAAAACGGTTATAAATCATAATAAATAGTACAATATTTAAACTACTTTAAAAGCATTATAAATTGCATATTATCTATTACAATAATTAACAATTATTTGACACTTTAAATTCTATCAATGCCATATAAATTAGGATAAAAAACCTAACATATAATATTTAAATATATTTAAAAATACTATAAGTAATACTATACATTACAATAAGTAACACCTTAAATATTTAAAAGTTATATAAAAAATTTAATTGACTCTCTAAATTCTATTGGTACCACATAAAATGGATTATATGATAAACATATATTGTTTGAAATTGACGAAAAAGAAACTATAAATTACAATAATTAACAAAATAAATCTCTCGACTCCAACAAATCTATCAATTAATGCCACATAAATTGGGACATGGCAAATAACATATATTATTAAAAATTTAGGTTCAAAATATACAATAAAATACAATAATTAACAACTTAATATATTAAAGAGACATATAAAAAATGCTTAATATTTAAAATTCTGCGTGTGCCACATAAATTAGAACAAACAGAGTAATAAATATTTTTTTCTAAATTATGTTAAAAAAAAAAACTACAAATCACAATAGCTAAAAAATTTAAATATTTTTAAAATCAGATAAAAATTTCAATAACTTCTCAAATTTCATAATATGACATAAATTAAAATAAAAAAATACATATATTTGGGCCCCGTGCTGGCACGGGGTCCTATATCTAGTGACACCAAGAAGTCACCTCACCAATATCCAAATAGCTATTCTAGAAGATATGTTTTATGATAATGATGTTTGATTAAATATAAAAGAAAAAAATAAAATATGAAACAGTAAATAAAAAACAATTCAAGAATTTTGTTTAGGTCATTAATATATCATCCACATACCCCATCCCCACTCCCTTCAAATAATAGAAGAAGGAATGATTTTTTTAATCATTCGATATTAGATATTCATATTGAGTTCAACTATAATTAACTTTGCGCCGAAAAGTCTTATATTGAGAAGTAAAACAAATCTTTAATTGTATTCAGAAAAATTCAAATTCAAGATATTTGATTAAAAATGAAAAATATTTACCACTTCACCATAATCTCTCGTTGCTAAATGAAGGAATGACAGACGTTATAAAATTATTATTTTTTAAACTATTTTAAAAATACAATAGTAATTTATTATTTAACCCTAATAATGTAATTAGTAATTTTTAATTATTGAAAAAACATATTTTTTTATGGTACTGACATGTAGACGCTATCACCTCTCCTATTATATTACTCCTTATTAGAAGTGACACTTAGATGGACGAACACAGCTATACATATTTGTACAACAACCAATAAAGATAGTACTTTTAAAGTAGCAACATTCAATATGAATCCTTCAATTTTTATTTTCGGTACACGTGTCTACCTTTTAGTTCGGGGGGAAGACAACTGTTTTCCACTTCTATATGCTCCTTTTTATTACTCTTATTTCTAATGACAGTTAGAAGGACTAACACTACATTAAATTAGTTGTATAATGTGCAAAAAATTTTGTACATTAACTTTTAACTTTATTAAATTAGTTGTACAGCGTGAAAAAATTTCTACATTAACTTTTTAAAAATGACAGTTGGAAGTACCTACGTGTCTAATAGCCAATCAAATAAGCCCACAAAGCCCAAACTATTGGTGTTGACATAAAGTATAGACTAATAAGATAAAATTATGAAATTATCCTTAAAAAAACAACCAAAAGGACTAACACAACATGAAATAATTGTACTATAAGTTATGAAAATTGTACATTAACTTGGGCTTATTTTACTTTTTTGCAGTGCTTTACATAATTGGACTAAAAGCAATATAAGATGTACGTCAACATTGCCTCTGGAATGATGAACTGATACATACACGTGTTCATTAGATGTAAATCCAGCTGTCCTATAAGCTAAATATATTATTAGTTCTTCCACATTGCTTTGGTTCTTCTTCTTTCTTCACTCCTCTTTCATATCTGATTGTTCTATGTTTAATTAAAAGGGAAAATTAATCAAAATGGCCATTCAGTGATAATTATAACTCAAAATAGTTTAATTATGGGATTTCTGTCATTACTATTCATCCGACACATTAATTTGTCATTATATATTGAAATAATATATTTATCTTTCCTTAATCATAATAAAATTATAATTTAACATTTATTTTTCTGAAATGATAATTTTGTTTTAATTCCTACAACATGTTGTTTACTATATTGAATGTAATTATAATAAAACATATTGTATTTAGTATGACAAAAGAACTCAAAAAATTGATAAATTAGATAAATAGTAATCTTAGCTTCTAAGAAATGTCACATCATGATTTACATATCCAACTTTATATATATAAAAGAGTTAAAAAAGAAAAA